GTCCTCCACGGCCTGGATGACGGCGGCTCTAGGTGGCGAGGTGGAGCAAGAATCGCAACGCGTGTCCGCGGAGGCCACTGCATAGTACGAACCACAATGTCCCGTCGTCAGTCACCGGCTCCGTGGCACGTCGAGTGCAGACACGCCCTCTGTTGGCGGCGATGGCGGGGCGGCCCACCCCTTGCGGGAGGTCCACTGTAGTCCGCGGCACCGCCCGGCACACTTCCTCGACATCTTGACGACGTGCAGCGCCACCTGGCCGGCGCGGACGCGCTAACTCTCTAAGTGATTTGCCTCTCCTCGCGCCGGTCGGGCCTCAATTGGGTAATGGGCCTCGAACGGCGTGCCGCGTGTGCCGTCGCGGTCCCGGCGGCCAAGGCCGGCCAAGGCCACGGGCATGCACTTCGCGGCCGCGGCGCTGCGCTACTTGAACCGCGTTAGCAGCGCCTTAGCCGCGCCGTTATTGGTGTGCCGGACGGCCGGGGGCGTTCGGCCGTTCGGCAATTGCTTTAATGCGCCCCTCGGCGAGGTGCCCCCGCGACCCGCACGGCGCACACCCACGCCGGCCTCGCCGAGGGCCTCGCCGAAGTAGCCGCCGATTACTTGGTGTGCTCAGACAGAAAGCGAACGCCACCTTTTTCTCGCTATTTGTTTTCGCGCGAGCCAAGTTTTAGTCTTTTGCCGTGTCGTGTTTGGTGTCTTTCTTTAACTCGACGGCGGCGGGCGCGTGCCGGCCGAGCCGGGGGGGGGGGGGGGGGGGCGGTGTGCCTGACTCACGCACGGGAATCATCCCGCGGCAAAGCAGCCGGCAAAGCGCGCGCACACTCACGGCCACGCGCACGCACACACGCGCCCACGCGAGCGGACGGTCGCGAACACGCACACACACACACACACACACACGGAGGCAAGGAGCAGGCTTTTCGTAAATCACAGTAAAAGTGAGAGGCCCGCGAGGAATGCCGGGCGATGCCGGGGGGAGGGGCGACAGTGACAGCCCCACTGGGCCGAGCAGGCCGAGCAGGCCGAGCCTCCGCCGTCGTACGTCGGCGTCCCAAGCGAGCCGCGCGAGCCGCGCTCTGTTTATTTTCTTCTTCGCCGAGGGGAAATGCTTATTGTTTTACCACGAAAATTTGTCACCGCACATTCGCGGGTTTCTGTTATGTATGAGTGTGTGCGTGTGTGTGTGTGTGTTGCCGCATCGTCGTTTCATGTGTGTGTGTGAGTGTGGGGGGCACAGTGGTGGCACAGCAGGGTGGCTGACTGATCGTTATTTTCGGAGAGTAGAAGAAGCATCGTCCTTGCCCGCAGGCCCCGCAGGCCCCGCAGGCCGGGCGCCGAGCGCCGAGCGCAAACAGCTCCAAAGACCCCGCAAACCCAAACAAAAAGTTAAATTGGAAATCGCCAACAGTGAAGGAGTCAGCTGCGATGCGTTTCTCCCCCCCGTTTGTTCGCACGCGCTGATCATTAGCAAGGTCGCCATTTCTCCACGGCGAAGAGATTTAAATTTTTGAACAATTTTTGTAGTTTGTCAAATTTTTGAACAATTTTTGTAGTTGGTTGCAGTATGAGAGACTGGCCGGCAGTCGGTGCATCGCGTCCACGGCTCTCTTCGCCGCGGCCGGCGCATATCACAGCCTTCCTCATGTTTCATGGTCCGGTCTGCGGTCGGGTCGACGCGGCTGGGGTCCAGCGTCCAGCGCGTCCAGCGCGTACGCGGCCGAAAACCCTCGTATCTCGGCCTCCGGTGGCTGCAGAGGACGCCTCTATCGGTCGCTCCCTCTCGCACGCGTTCAGGACGCCCCGTGGGTGCGACAGAGACAGAGCGACGAAAAGCCACTGTTCGTAATGAGGCTGCAGTTAGGCGGCAGCGCGCGGCGAACGGCGTGGCGCTCCGCGTAACCCGAACCCGAACAGCCTCCATTATTTAACGTTTGGAACAAGAAAACCGCATCGCGCGCATCGCGCACGGTGGCATCATCAGCGCCGCGGTCACAGCGCCCTCGTCACGCCGTGACGGCCGGGGCAGCGTCACACCAGTGTCACACTTGCTCGGCGGCGTGACCGACTTGCCCACCGCACTGCCGCTGCAGACTGATATCGAGAGTCTGTCTCTCGCACACGAGTGCGCGAGAGACAGAGCGACGAAAACGAGGCGCGGCACCCCATCCCACCGCCACGACGCCGCCCCGGACTTTTTCGACCGGCCCAAACTTTCGAGCCATAACACAGAGAGTTCAAAGTTCATCAAGCCCTGCATTGAAGCCGCACGCCGCTTTTATCGAGAAATAATAAAAGAACGTCACTAATCAAAACAATGAACACAAAATTAATATTCCTTTTTTTTTTCTTTTTCTTTTGGTCTTTCTTGTGGAGGGTCCAGCCAGCGCGCGCAGCCTGGCTGGCTGGCCTGGCTGGCGGGAATCAACATGGCGATTGAACGCGGTTCGGCGATGCGCACTTCACCATCATACGCGGTGGCGCGCGGCGTCTGGCTGGCCGATAGGCCTGCAGATACTGCAGCGAGGGCGCCAGTACACTCACACACTCACACACACTCACTCACACAATTACATGTTTTCGTTTCTAACCGAGACGTCGTCGGATTAATGCCGGCGATGCGGCGTTGTGACGTTTGCGCGTGTCGGTGTGCGTGTGTCAGTGTGCGTGTGTCGGCCAGTTCCAGCCCACCCGATGCTGTAATGAGAGGGCCTATTATTTGCGGCCGCCAGCGCGTAAAATTGGAAGCACTAAAAATAGAAAATACACCTCGGTGACTTTTTTGCTCGGCGCCGTCACATTTTCCCAAGCGGATTGGAAGCCGAACAGTGGGCCGTGTGCCTTGGAGACAGACGACGCGGCGCGCGCGGCGCGGCGGCGACCGGGCGACGGCGGCGGCGGCCATGCTGCCGCCAGGATCTAGGTCGTCATCTCGCAGGGGTCAGTGCAAGACATTCAAATTGAATGAAATGATTTTACTTTTTGTTTGTTTTTCGTTGGCGATGCGGCCGCCGAGGCAGTGATATGCGGTTCAGATTGCGGGAAGGCGATACAGGCTGGCCGCGGCCGAGCGCCGAACCGAGCGAACCGAGCCCCCGTCGGCCGGCTGCTCGGGCTGCTGCGGGCTGAACGCGTGTCCTCGGAGGCCGGCGTCGACCACCACGCGGCCTGCCGTGCTGCCGTGCTGCACCTGGAGACCTGGATCATGCACTTGCGCGACGTGACACGGCGTGACGGCGTGACGCGTGGCACCCGGGTCACGGACGGCGTGCCTCTGGCCTCGGCCGCGCCGCACCTCCGCGACTCGCGTTGTTTCTGTCCGTCCGAGCGACAGGCCGACAGACTGATGACGTCATAATCCGCCGTCGGAAATTGGTTTGGGAATGATAGTCGTACCTCATTGCCGCCATCCCACTCGCATGTAAGGTGCGACCGGGTCCTGCCAGGAACTGACCCAGAGGAAGGCAAAACAAAGTAGAGAGATGAAGGAGGGGGGGACGTGATGGCTTTCTTTCCTGCATTTTATTTCGTTTCACTTAGAGGACGGTCGGCCGGCAGGGCAGCAGGGTAGAGGCGAGCCGGGCGGGCCTTCGGTTCGCGTTTGACTTTCTGGTCGTAACGGCTCCAATTAGCTGCACAGCGCGGCTGCGCGGCCCGGACGGCCCAACGGCCCGGAGCCGAGCCGAGTCGCACCGTCCCGTTTGTTGTTGTTTTGTTGCGTTTCAGTTTTGAGAGAAGCGAGTCCAGGCGGTCCGGGGCCGGCATGGCGCCCCCACCTCCACTGCGTGAGACTGCGTGCCCTCTGCGCGCCCTGCAGGGCCAGCGGGCGTAGCGGGACGATTGCCGTCTCTCTCGCACCCAGAGGGCGTCGCGTAGGGGTGCGAGAGAGACAGCTCAGCCAGCAGGGCCCCGCCCCCAGCCCTCGGGGAAATAAAGAAAGACTCAATTTCCGAAGGCCTCCTCTGCGCGGCCCCGGCCCGCGGCCCGCCCCCGTCTTGGCTCGGCAGGGCCGGGCAGGGCAGGGCACGCCACCTGCGACACATTCTCGTGCATTCCAAGTGGAAAGGAGGCACAAAAAAGCAACGCCCTGGCACGCGACACCTGTACGCCGGGGACAGACGGACGGACAGACGGACAGACGGGCAGGCAGGCAGCAACGCGATACCCCTGGCGTACCTCGGCGCTTCATCTTTCTCGATCTCGACACCCAAATAAAGCTTGCCGTCGCGCTGCCTCCGTGCGCGTGGACGCGTGGACGAGGACCTCCAGGACGCCCTGCATGTCGTCCTGCATGCCCTCTGGCGGCCCTTGGCGGCGGCCCGGCCTGCCCGCCGCCTCCGCCTTGACTTTCTAATGACTTGTGATGGCGGGGCGGGGCGGGGCGGGGCGGGGCGGGCCCAGGTGGTTCGGCCCGCCGCCCCTGCCGCACGTGGCACGCGTTGTTTGTCCGATCGGAAAGGCAAAATCGGACTCGATGCGGACGCCTTGTCTCTCCTTTTGTTGCCCGCGGCGTCACCGTGTCGGGTCGTCGGGACGCCTCCAGCCGCCAGGGCCGGCGTGACACTGTGACACGCGCCGTGACGCGCACGGCCCTGCCGGCTCGAATGCAGGGAATGTCGTCACACTGCTAGCCGGTGTGGTGCTGCACTCAACTGGACCACCTGTGTACGTCTCGCACGTCTACTCACGGTGCACTCACACGTTGCCGGGCCGAGTCGGTGCGACACACGCACACACACACACACACTCACTGAGTCAACACCGACAGAGAGCGTCTGCGTGTCGCGGCGCGACGGGGCGTGGCGGCGTGGCGGCGTGGCGCGGCGTCTATGCAAATCAGTTGGCGCACTAAGCACGTATCCAATCCCTCATCGAAGCGAACGGGGCGAACGGTGCGAACAGCGACCGCTGCGAGGAGCACACCTCGTCTACCTGGCCCCGCAGTGCTGCACACTGGAAGTGGGATCTGGAGGCTGAGACGAGCTGGTTTGTTGTTGCAGGCTGCTGGTGCTGGCGCTGCTGGCCGCCGCCGCGGCCAAGCCGCTGGAGCCGTGCCCGGGGTCGTGCCGGTGCTTCCTGTCCGAGGGGCTGAAGCGCGCCGACTGCCGCCAGGTGCCGGAGTGGGCCGACCAGCAGAGCGACGCCCAGGACGTGCGCATCCTGCCGCCCGCCGCGGGCCGGGGCGCGCGCTCCCACGCCCTGCACCTCACGCACTTCGACGTCTTCCCCAAGGTAGGGTACAGTGTGGGCACGGCGCCCTCTCTCCAGACAGCCCTCTCTGACCCGCCGCTCGCTGCTTCGCTGCTCCAGGTGCTGCAGCTGTCCGTGACGAACCGCGGCCTGGCCGAGCTCATCCCTAGCGGCTTCCACGGCCTGCACTCGCTGCAGGAGCTCGACGTGTCCAACAACCTGCTGGAGCGCTTCAACTACAAGGTGTTCAAGCGCATGCCCGCGCTGCGGCGCCTCATCCTGGCCGGCAACCCCATCATCCTGGAGCCGGGCGTGCCCCTCATCGCGTCCAAGTCGCTGCTGTCGCTCGACCTGGGCCACTGCGACATCGTGAACGTCCCCAAGGGCTCGCTGGACGGGCTGCGCAACCTCACGGACCTGTCCCTGCGAGGCAACCCGCTGCGCCTGCAGAAGGGCCGCCCGCTGCTGGGCAGCCCGCGCGCCCTGGCCAAGCTGGCCGTGCTGGACCTGTCGGCCTGCGGGCTGGAGGCCCTGCCGGCCGGCGTGCTGGACTCGCTGACGGGGCTGCGGCGGCTGTACCTGGACGGCAACAGCCTGCACACCGTGGAGCGGGGCGTCCTGCCGCGCGGCCTGCGCCACCTCGACCTCAGCGCCAACCTGATCCGCGACCCGCCCACCGCCGTCATCACCGCCCTCAACCTCACCAAGCTGGAGCTGAGCGACAACCCCGTCCACTGCACCTGCGCCTTCGTCGGCCTGCAGGTAAGCGCGCGGACTTAGCCGCCCCTTGGTGCGCTGACGAGGTGCTGATCGTGTGTTCTGTTCCAGGCCTGGCTGTCCGGCCGCCCCGTCATGATGGAGCGGCCCGTCATCTGCGCCGAGCCCGCCCAGTACCGCGGCATGTCCTGGACCAAGGTGGACGAGCAGCAGCTGTGCAGCGACGAGGCCAGGCAGGCCAACACCTCCGAGAGCAGCAGCTCCTCGGACGAGTCCTCCTCTGCGGACGACGACTACGAGTCCTCGTCGACCTCCTCCGCGGTCGTGGGCGACGACTCCCTGCCCAACGACGACGATTCGCTGGAGCTGCCGCCCGCGTCCTACGAGGTGTACACCCACGAGAACAACGCCATCGACGGCGCCCCGGCCAGGCCGGCCGCCATCCTCAAGCTGCCTGGCTCGCAGCGCGCCGTCAGCCACAACGACATCAGCTTCTACCAGGCGGACCAGCCGGCCGACACCACGCCGCCCCCCGCGGACGACGACGACGCGGCCACGTCCGCGCCCGCCAAGGACGACGACGAGTCCCGCGTCAAGGAGGACGGCGAGTCGCACATTAAGGACGACGAGGAGTCGCCCACCAAGGAGGACGAGGAGTCGCCCACCAAGGAGGACGACGAGTCGGCCTCCAAGGACGAGGACAGCGACAGCGAGTCCGCCGACAGGGAGGAGTTGGAGACGGAGCGACAGCCGTCCTTGGAGGAGGGGGTCGAGATCAACAAGGACGCGGAGACCCTCTTCCGCAACGCTGACACCATCGCCATGGGGACGCACGAGGAGCAGGCCGTCAAGGCGCCCGAGGACCACGAGGCCGTGACGGAGGCCGCGCCTGCCGCAGGCGGGGTGGTTGACGGCGAAGCTCGAGATCTGCTCGCGGAAGAGTCAGCGACAACGGTTGCTCCAGAGCCTGTCCCGGAGACTGTCTCCGAGGCCGTGCCTGCGGCTGCAGCCGAGGCCGTCCCCGAGACTGTTCCTGCCTCCGTCCCCGAGTCCGTCACGGAGACTTCCTCAGAGGCTGTGCCGGCAGCCGCTGCTGAGGCCGTCCCGGAAGCAGCACTCGAGGCCGCGGCCCAGGCCGCCGCCGCTGCTGATGCCGTCACGGAGGTTGCCACTGAGGTGACTCCCGAGGCGGTTCCCGAGGCTGCCACGGAGGCGGCCCCAGCGCCTGCAGGGATTCCTGAGGGTGCTGACGCCGCCACGGACGCCGCCACCGACGCCCCGCCCCCTGACGCTGCTGCGGGTGTTGATGTTGACGGGCAAGCAAGTCCAGACTCCGCGACCACACCCGGAGGCGTCGTCGGCCCTGCGGACCGCGCCGATCACGGCCGTGCTCTAGGGGAACCCGAAGCGGGGCAGCTCCCCGACTCCGCCGTCGGGGAGGTGTCGCAGGACGTGGACGTGAAGGAGGGAGAGTCCGACGTGGCCGTCGTCCCCGCCGTGGAGCCCTCTTCCGCGCCGGACACTCCTGCTGCAGGTGCTGAGCCCGAGCCCACCACGCCCGCAGCAGGCCTTGCTCCGGTCGTGGAGGAAGCCATCGTCCCGGTCGTCGCCAAGAACATCGTCGGTGTGGAGGATGGCGACTCTGAGGGGGCAGCCGCGGGCCATGATGCCCTCGAGAAGGCTGAGGCTGTACCGGCAGTGCCCGAAATCGTGGAGCCTGAAATCGTCCCGGAGACGGCTGTCGAGGTGGCCGCCGAACCGAAGCCCGCGCCGGATGCGATCCCAGACGTTCTCGTCGAGGCCGCCACGGAGGCACACCTCCCCGACGTGGCAGTCGCAGCGGGCCTGCCAGAGGACGCCAAGCACAACGAGGAGCTGGCCGTGGAGAAGGTGCCGGGGACGGCCCTGGGCGGCGACTCCGGTGAAGTGGAGCTGCAGAAGTCCACCATCACGTACGTCATCCTGGGGTGCATCGTGGCCACGATGATCGTGCTCGTCCTGTACGCGCTGCTCCGCAGCAAGGCCAAGAAGACCGACGCCAAGCAGAACGCCGTCCGCGTCCGCCGCGAGAACGGCGACGCGCGCGTCCACCACCCCGAGGGCACCGAGCTCAAGGACATGATGAACCCGCTGCTGGGCACCACCGCCACCGCCGACCCCGAAGCGCCGCGCCGCACGTCGCTTACCTCGCTGGAGCTCATCCGCGAGGAGGGGGAGGACACCGAGACCACGCGGCTGCAGCAGGCCGCCGACGACGACAGCAACGCAGCGTCCAAGACGCCGAAGCCCGAGAAGCCAGTCCGAGCGACGCCCGAAGCGGCCCGGCGGCAACCCGCCGCCAACGGCAAGCCCAACGGCAAGCCCAACGGCAAGCCCGCCAACGGCCAGACGTCCAACGGCAAGCTCCCGGTGGACCCCAGCGCGGCGACGCCCGCCCCGACGACGCCGGGGCAGCAGCGCGCCGCGGACCAGCCCAGCCGGGTGACGGTCAAGGCGGGCGTCATCTCCACCCCCGTGCCCAGGACGCCCGTGCTGGTCAGCCGGAACGGCGCCAACGGCACCAAAGCCAACGGCGTCGGCAACAGGAACACGTAGGCAGGGCAGGCTGCCGCGCTGCCGGAACCAAAGTGGAAACAGTGTAGCGGCCGCCGGGGCGCAGGGCGTCCACAAACCACGTAACACATGCCCTGGACAGGGCAGTGCTGCCGCCAGACTGATTGGACGCCAACGATGGCAGAGGTTCTCCCCCGCAAGGGTCGGCGACGTCGGCGTGGCCCGGCCGCGGCCCGCCGGCAAATACTGCCAAATTTATTTATCCAAGTCGACAGGTTCACCCTGTCTTCAGGCTGTGTTCTTCTTCCCATTGCGATCCATTGTGTGTTGGTCGTAAACTTTGTTCCAAGACTTTGTAATTTCTTTGTGCCGAGTGATGGCGAGAGTGCTATGTGCGAGGCCGCTGAGTGAGGACTCTTGAGAAAAGAAGTTACTTAATTTATGATTTTGGTGATATACAAATGACTCGTTGTTGTTATTTATCGATGCCATAGTGACCACTGTGGCTTCATGTAGATTAATAATTACTCGATCTTATTGTTCCCTCTTATTTCTACTCTGTGAATAGTCTAGGTGCGTAAGTACATGTAATATATCATTTCGATTGTATACGTTGTAAAATCTCACTAGGACTTTCCTCGAGCTGTTAAAGTATAGAGTATGTCGTGGCCTTACGGAATGTGTGGCTACCTAGTTAGTAAGAGGGCCGAATCTGTAGTCAGAGTGGTGGAGCACTGACAGCCTGACAGCCTTACAGGGCGTTCCCCTAGACCACGATCGCGCAGCGTGGTGGACATCATGAAAACCGTTCCGGATTATTTATATCCTAACAAAATGAAGAAGCGGTTTGTGGCGTAGGCTTTATCTGCAGCCCGCCTGATAGGGAGCGAGGCAGGGCACGGCTGGGCGCGCCGGTCGGGAACAAAAAAGGAGCGCCCGAGTGGACATTGCTCGCCGAGTATGCGAAATTGCAAACGCACAGTCAAGTACATGTGCACAAAAATGAGAAAAAAAGAGAGGGACCGCGTTTTGTCCGGAAAAGTGGAAGGGGATCCTTTGTCGACTTCCTCGTGTGCTAGCGGTATGAGTTTCACGGCACAGCGAAAATCGTCCTGGCAGGACCTAGAATCGAGAAAGCGGCGGGGAAGCCTCTCGACCAAATAATGTTTTGTGGCGACAGGACTGTGAGTCTCACCGGAAAAGTACCGGGAAAAAGGGAACAGCGATCTCTCTTGTTTTTGTTTGCTTTTGAGAATATGAACAAACTCGGCGCAGCAGCTTTTTTTAACCATGTCTTTGTCACTATGTGCTCACGAATGAAGTTCTCTCTTTTGATGAGACTGACAAACCGTGTATAAACAGTAATCTAAGAATTCCTGATGTTTTTCATCGTGTGCAAGTGGATGAATGTGATTAGCTTAAAGATCCATCCCATTATTTAAAAAAATCATCGTTGCATTGGAATGGACTTCTCCTTTATTTTCTCTAGTTATAGTTTAGTTGAACGAGTCGACTCAAAACATATCTTCCTTGTTTGTTCGTCTGTAAGATACGCATCTCAGTACGAAACCGGCAGTAAATGACAAACCCCTAACTTATTCCTACGCTTCCATAGTGTGTTGCATGGGCCAGCTTGCTGGCGTTCGTCCTTCGAGTGAATCATAAAGTGTGCGAAAGTGCATTGTAATTAATAAGCCATGTAGGCTTTACTTGTGTATTATAACAAACATCGAAACAAAATAAAATTGTGATAAATTAAGCTGTGGTTGATTCTTGCCTCCAGTTCTGGGGAAATCAAAACACTTCAAACGCATAGCAAGAGACAGATCTTCCCTAAAGACGGTTATCTCTCAAATACTGAAAGCTAAGATGGGGAGCACACAAAACAGTGAAATCTGGGTTGCAGCTCGTTCTCGCTGAAAGAGAAGAGAAAGTCCTAAAATTGAAATGACGTTTCTCCTGGTGGATCTTGTGGGCAGTGCTGCGCCCGGCGCGCTAGGCAACTCAAGCCCCCCTCTTTTTCCCCCATCGGCCAGCCAGGCGCCCAGATGCCTTATCGCCGCGCGACGAACATTTCCAATAACCAACATTCAGCAGTCACAACAAACGAGCGGCAACAACGCGGCCGAAGGGCGGGGCCCGATGCCGCTACTTTCCATTATCGACCTCCAATAATATTAATGATGATAATCCTGCGCGCTCGCTCCGTAGAGACATAAATCAGGAAACAGCTCGTTCCGTAGTCATGGCAACGAGAGAGAGGACTGGGCTGCGGTGCTCCGAATAATGCTTCCTGATACCGAAAGACAAATAATAGACGGACAAGCGGCGATACGCGTCGCGTCGCGGCGTTGCGAGTACGAGTGCACCTCGCTGCGTGGGCTCGCCGCCGCCGCCCCGCCGCCCGCCCGCCGCCTGCCGGGTAGGCAACCCAACGTACACCGACGGCGCGCGTTGGGCTGCCTGCCGCCCGGCGTCGGTTTCCCGGCCTCGAACCACCACACTGCTGTTCATGGGCGCTTTCAATGGCAAAATAGGTGTAAGCACGCCCGCCGGCACAACATTGAGAAGCCAGAATGCCGTCCCTTCGTTTTGTCGTCTTCAACGCTTACCCGAAATAAAAGCAGACTGAATACCCGCTCCGTCTGTACACGCCGCCAGACCAGACACCGGTTGAGCGCGCCGAGGTGGCATTGGCGGCCCCCAGCAACAGCGTCACCCTCCGGCGCCCTCCCCCACCCCCACCCCGGCCCGGAGCCTCCCCCGCCCCCGCCCCGCCCCCGGCCCGGAGCGCCACACCCTGGCGGCACGGCCAGAGGCACGGCCTGTCGGCGGGGCGGCGCGGCGGCCAGTCCTTGCCCCTCTCCAGCCCAGGGCGGACCCCCACGCCGAGCCGGCCAGCGCAGCGCAGCGCAGCGCAGCGCGCCACGGCACCGAGCACGCCGAGCAGGCCGAGCACGCCGTGCGCGACGCGGAGGCACGCGGCGACGCCCTCCACGCCCTCCACGCCCTCCGCGAGTGGCGCCCCCAGTGTGACGGCGCGAGGCGCGGCGACCAACGACCACGGCGACGACGCGGCCACGCGACGCGCGAGCGGACTGCCCCCGCCAGTGAAGCGGTACGGTATTACACATCTTAGCAAAACAATAAAAATAAAACTGTGTTTGTCCAAATTTCTGTTTAAAAAAAATTGATGCTAAAACACATTAAATCTTGCAAGTTTGAATCTGGAGGAGACTTTCCTAGTGTCATTTCGTGTCGTGGAGTCTGGCGGGTCCCTTCGTTCCCAGTCGCCGCCAAGTGTGTGTGGGCGGGGGAAGGGGGAAGGAGCGGGGGGCGAATCCTTACGCCGCCGGGGCCAGCAGCAGCTGGAGACGAGGAGGATGTGGAGGAGGACGAGGAGGTTCTCGCAGACGTGGCGCTGGGAAATTGGGTCCACGCGGAAGGGGATCGGAACACGATCGGGACAGGGCGGGCCAGGGCGGGCCAGGGCCAGCGGAGGTGGGGGCACCATCCATCACCGATCCATGGCAAACACCACTCCGACAACACCCTGCTGCAGGCTGATTCCGAGCGGTGCTGTCGAGTCGCTGGGGTGCGAGGGAGACGGCTCCACTGTGCCGCCTTGGCTTGCCCCGCCCCGCACTTTTCCAGCACCCCCCCCCCCCCCCGCCCCGCGAAGACGTGGTGACAGCTCGCCGATACACGCCGCGGCTTGCTGGGCGTGCGGGGCGTGCGGGGCTTGCCCTACCCGCGGGGGCACAGGTCGGCCGTCACACTTATGGCCACCCACGCCCGCGGCAGTTTCGGAACGGACTGCCCATCGCCGCCATCGCCGGTCTTTGAATGTGAAGCGGCCTGGCAGTGCGACCCGACGGGGATGTTTTTAATTCTGCACCATATTGGGAGACAGGGCGCTACGCAGCACTGCTGGCTTCCAAAGTAGAATAAAGGGGCCCCGCCAGAGTTCTGAAACTCTCTTCATTGGCGCGGGGCTTGGAACAGCAGGCCTGTCCCGCCACTTTTTATCGGGCCGTCGCGACGCCTGTTCCTGTCCAAGACTAGGCGTGCTCGGTATTCGAACGCAGCGCCGGAAGTCTGCGGCTTCGGGTCAGTGCGATACAGCTGCAGCGACGCGTCGCTGATCAGTAACGGCAAATTCGTGTTTTCGCTCCCGACTTTTGATGAGTTTTATGGAAATGTGGCGGGCGCCGTGTCCCTTCCCAGTTTGTGTATCGCGTCGTCCGCCCGGCCGTCCGCCCGTTCTCCCGCGGAGCCGCCAACTTTGGCCGTCTTCACGCGCCGCGCTGTCAATAAGGACTCCAGCGGGGGGCGACGGCGCGGCCAGCAGAGTGGAAGACAATGGCCTTCGCGATCGTTTAGAAGGCCTCCTCCGGGATGACCGCGTGCCGACACCTGTTCTGCCGCACCCAATGTGAATGTGTGTCTGCAACAGGTACCGGGTCGCGCAGGACAAAGCCGCAGCAGGGCTGCCCTAGGCCGCCCCAGGCTGCCCGCCCAGGACTTCTCTGCTGCCCGTCAACATTTCCACCACCATGAAGACGTCGTCCTTCTCGCTGCGCGTCATGCGGCGGGTCAGTGAGTCAGCCTCGCCCTCCTTCTGGATTGTGTTTTCCTTGCGATTCCTTGCGACGGCAGAGCAGCTCACAGCCTCCGGACATGCAGCCCGCCGTCTCCAGGCTGCAGTGTGCCAGCCATTCAGCATGCTGTCCGTGTTCCGCGCAGTCCGCGGGGCCACCGCGTCGTGGCACTCTTGTCCAACTTGCCGCGTTTGCTTGCGTTAATCCCCTGGACCGCAGCGCCGTGGCACCGCGGCCTCGCCATGAATAAATTGGACGCGGCAAGCGAGCGCGAAGCCCGCGAAGCCCGAGAAGCGTCCTCGTATTCGCGCGGGGCTGAGCCGGCGTGGTCCCCCGCCACTCTCGAGCCGAAACTCACACACCAACAAGGGGCCCTCGCGCTGCCAACGCCGGAGCTACCCGGCTCTGTGCCGAATTCCAGCCGTCTGTCGGCACTCGCGTGACTCGCGCGTCGAGACCGACAGACCGGCAGACCGACTGAAGCGGTGACATTAATTACACGCCGAGCGACACGAACCACACACTGGAGGGAGTCGGGAACCCTTCCAACTCGTGTGGACAGCGTCAGGGAACGCCTGTGGAGTCCAGGGTGGGCCGGCCCGCCGGACGCGCCGTCACGCAGTGTTGCCTACCCTCGACTCGACGGGCGCTCCGGCCGGAACGGAGCGTTTCTGGATCCGCCGCTGTTGAGCCGTGAGGTGACGTGTCTCATTTCCAGGACTTGTTGCACCGCCATGTCGAGGTCGATATGAGTCGACGACGCTGTGGCGGGCCTTGCCGTCGGCCTGTGAGGGCTGGAAGGGCTGTGAGGGCTGGAGGGGCCGGGCCAAGGGCTAATATGCTGCAGCGTCGCCATGTGTGCCTCACAGTGAGGCACACTGTGTGGCAAACCCGCAAAGCAAAGTGTTTTGATCGATCGCTTGCGCGGCGGCCTGGCAGGCGTGGCGGGCCATGGCAGGCACGGCCCGTATCGACAAGGGATGATCAAGTGACTACCCACCACCTGATGCGCGACGCGACGCGCGCGCCCTGTGCGAGGCCCTTTTCTCGCTCATGCAAGTTTTTTGGAAACACGAGCTGCCCAGTCGCCTTGGCGGAGAGAGGGAAGGCGGAAGCGCCCCTCCCCTCCCGTTTACGTAATTAATTGTTGCCGTGACGAGGGCAGCGCTCCCGGCGGTCGTTTCGGGAACCGCCGGGAACCGCCGGGAACCGCTCGCACGGCAGGTATTAGAAGCGCCCGGGCTTCCGTGCCGTCACGCTGTCACACTGTCACGCCGTCACGCTGTCACGCTGTCACGCTGTCACCCTGCCCTGCGGCGTCGAGCGTCACTCGTAGTGTGAGTGCATCACCCTCCGTTGCTCTTCGGGCAGCCCCTCTCGACCGCCTTGGTGGTCCACCAGGTGACCACCGGGTGCAGCGAGTAGGCGAGTCTGGGGAGAGATGGAGCGGGTTCGAGACTCACCCCGTCCACCCCAGCGGGATGGAGCACCTAACAGCTGTGCACCTGATCACGCTTGGACCGAGTTTTTTTTTAAAGAACAAGAACGTCGTTCAGACAGAGAAACACTCCTCGTTCCGTTCGGTTCGGTTCGGCCGGCCGGAGCTGAAGCCGGCTGAAGCCTCGGCGGCCGCGGCACCGCGGTCGGTGGTCGGTGGTCGCGGCGAGGCAGTGAAGGCAGGGACCGGGCCGGGCGTGCTCGTTGGGCTTTGTTAGGGCGGACGGCGCGTTTCGGAAGCGCCTGGGAGCCGCTCTGCCCCGCACCGCGTCGCGCCGCTTAGCACTTTGGACGCAGCCTCGCCAATACTCCAATGGTCTGCGGCGGCCAGCCTCGCCAAAGCCAGACCGTGGCCACGCCCCGCCTGGCCAAAGCCACCAGCCAGACAGTGGATTTACTCTGACAAGTGCACCCCACAAGTCCCACTGGTTGCACTAACGCAACTCCGAGTTAGCGTACCCGCCTAGTGGAGGTGGGAGCACCCGGCCGGTGTGCCAGTTGAGTGTTTGTGTGTGAGTGTCTGTATATGCGTGAGCGTGTAGGGAGAGAGTAAGCGAGAGAGAAAGAAAGGGAGAAAGAGTACAGAACATAGTCTGTGCGCGCGCGCGCGCGTGTGTGTGTGTGTGGCTACTCCAGCGCTCATACTGGCTTTCCGCTTTTCCCCGGAAAAATATTGCCTCTAGAAACAAGAGGCCGGGGTGGAGGCCGCATTCCACTGCCCGCGGCGCCACGGAGCACCACGGAGCGCCGCAGCGACGGGCACGTCTCAGCAATAATAAGGATTATTGAGACGGGCGGGGCGTGGGTTTGAAACCCGCCGTCGCACCCGTTTTTTTCACCTCCTTCCCCCCTCTTCCGGTGTACACGTCGGAGCACCGTCGGCACGATCGGGATGCTCGTTGGCATTGGCAGCACTGGCTGGATTGACTGGATGCGCGGATTCGCTTTTAAAAACGCCCTTCGCACGCAGCGGGTGCAGCTGGCCCGCTACACTGCTGACTCTGCGACGCCTCGCGTGGGAATCGAACCCGGGGCCGCGGGCTGCGCCCTGGCTGCGCGCGGTGTGTACAGAGTGTACAGCTGCGGGCAGCTCTGACGGTCTGACACTGGGGCTCCTCGACAAATGAGGTAATTTGCATTTGAATCGGGGGTGGCGGGGTGCGGCGGGGCGGGGCGCGGCCTGGGGCGAACTGCTCGCCGCCGACGGCGAAAAGAAATGAATTCCTCAGACGCGGTGCTCGCGGCGCGCTGCACAAGTCGTTATTTCGGCTGTAATTATTTGCAAGGCGGTGACCGAGGCCGAGCCCAAGGCGGACCGAGGCCGTGACCAAGAAAGGCCTCGACTAAACGTCCGAGGCCGCATCCGGAGTGACGTCGGAGGGTGGGCCTTGTCCAGTGCAACCACACTGGACGCTACCCGTGGCTCGTCCGAAATACGTGCAAGACATGAGGCACGCCGCCATGCCCGCCGGGGGCTGGGGGGAGCGCACCGCATCGGCCTTGCACAATGGATCCACAATCCACCTGTCAGAGGGAAGATTGATATCGTGATTGCGATTGGGAAAAGCGTCCCACACCGGCCGTGTGTTATCAACAGCCCAGCGGAGCAGAGCGGCCGGCGCGCCGCGATAGGCCACCGAGCAGGCCTTGCTTCGCAGAGAGAAGGGGGAGTAAAAACAGAAATTTTCCGCGTAAAAATGATTCTGGCAGGCGGCGAACTTATTTAACTTACTGTTTCAACTGGGTGCATATAATTTTCGTGTTCTTTTCTTATTCGAGAATTTTTGTTTGGTTGGGGTCGCATTGCCTGTTTGCAGTGAGCATGTACGCATACCATCCGTTACCGGGGGATTTCTCCTATCTCGCTGGAATGCACGAGGCAGAACGAGATAAAGATGAAGGGACAGGGTGGGGTGGGGAAGAGAGAGAGAGAGAGAGAGAGAGAGAGAGAGAGAGAGAGAGAGAGAGAGAGAGAGAGAGAGAGAGAGAGAGAGAGAGAAAGGATGGGGGGTATGAGGCCTTGGATGCAGGACCCGCCGCGGCCTCCACGGCCAACTTCAAGTCGGGATTACTCTCCGCTGTGCGCGAAAGGGCTTTGTACTCGACGTGCGTGGGCCTAACCCTGCGTCCTAATTTGTGGTCCACAAACCAGGAATCAGGCAGGATTTTTTTTGTTTCCTGAAACTGAGGCGGGCTCTGGAGGCGCAAGCCCCACCCCCACGGCCTGTGCGTGTGTGAGTGGCTGTGTGTGTAGGAGGGCGGGCGGGGCGAGCGGGCGGAGCGGGCGTAGCGGGGGAAATTTGTTAAGCGGGCGGATGCGCGGAGCGGGCGAGCGGCGAGCGGGGCGGAGCGGGGCGGAGCGGGCGGAGCGGGGGCGGAGCGGGGCGGAGCGGGGCGGAGCGGGGCGGAGCGGGGCGAGAGCGGGGGCGGAGCGGGGCGGAGCGGGGCGGAGCGGGGCGGAGCGGGGCGGAGCGGGGCGGAGCGGGGCGGAGCGGGCGGAGCGGGGCGGAGCGGGGCGGAGCGGGGGGGAAAGCGGGGCGGAGCGGGGCGGAGCGGGGCGGAGCGGGGCGGAGCGGGGCGGAGCGGGCGGAGCGGGGCGGAGCGGGGCGGAGCGGGGGCGGGCGGAGCGCGGAGCGGGGCGGAGCGGGGCGGAGCGGGGCGGAGCGGGGCGGAGCGGGGCGGAGCGGGGCGGAGCGGGGCGGAGCGGGGCGGAGCGGGGCGGAGCGGCGGCGCGCAGCGGGGCGGAGCGGGGCGGAGCGGGGCGGAGCGGGGCGGAGCGGGGCGGAGCGGGGCGGAGCGGGGCGGAGCGGGCGGAGCGGGGCGGAGCGGGGCGGAGCGGGGCGGAGCGGGGCGGAGCGGGGCGGAGCGGGGCGGAGCGGGGCGGAGCGGGGCGGAGCGGGGCGGAGCGGGGCGGAGCGGGGCGGAGCGGCGGGCGGGCGGAGCGGGGCGGAGCGGGGCGGAGCGGGGCGGAGCGGGGCGGAGCGGGCGGAGCGGGGCGGAGCGGGGCGGAGCGGGGCGGAGCGGGGGGGCGGAGCGGGGCGGAGCGGGGCGGAGCGGGGCGGGAGCGGGGCGGAGCGGGGCGGAGCGGGCGGAGCGGGGCGGAGCGGGGCGGAGCGGGGGCGGGCGGGGCGGAGCGGGGCGGAGCGGGGCGGAGCGGGGCGGACGGCAGCGGGGCGGAGCGGGGCGGAGCGGGCGGAGCGGGCGGAGCGGGGCGGAGCGGGGCGGAGCGGGCGGAGCGGGCGGAGCGGGCGGGGCGGAGCGGGGCGGGCGGGCGGAGCGGGGCGGAGCGGGGCGGAGCGGGGGACGGAGCGGGGCGGAGCGGCGGCGGGAGCGGGGCGGAGCGGGGCAGCGAGGCGGGGCGGAGCGGGGCGGAGCGGGCGGGCGGGCGGAGCGGGGCGGAGCGGGGACGGGGAGCGGGGCGGAGCGGGGCGGAGCGGGGCGGAGCGGGGGGCGGCGGAGCGGCGGGCGGAGCGGGGCGGAGCGGGGCGGAGCGGGGC